TGTGTGTGTGTTTGTCCTCTGTTCCCTTCACTTATATCACACCAGTTGTCCCAGTAGGGCAGGATCCAGCTCGCACTAAATGCTCCCTTTATAAAATGCATAGGCTCGGCTCGAACACTGCACAGGGGGGTGCTTTGTGTGTCTGCTTGTCTTGATATACATGTGAGGACCATAGACTGCATAATTGTATGAATGTAATTTAGGATAAAAAATAAATAAATGGATAACATTTTGAGCCCACTGGTTTTGATTGTGTAAAAATGGTTACTACACCCATTTATAGTAAATAATAAGCTCAAGATAAGAGTAAACCTTCAAACCAACCTAGGACGATGAACCCAGTGCTTTCACATATCAGGGCCTTAAGTGTTTTGTTTGAAAGAAATGAGCACTAGAGTGCAGGTGAAGGCCTCAGGATCAACTGAATTATACCCTGCTGAATAATGTGTCCTGGAAACAACATGGAGAAAAATAAGTCCCTGAATGGTGGAATACAATAAGCAGGAAAGCTTAGGAGAGCCTCATACATATTATATTATTGTACATCACTTAATAAAGTTCAGGGGTTTCCAGCTGATAGCAATCTTTCCCCGCAGCCAGAGTGAGCTGGGGCTGTGGGGCCCTGAATGTCATGCCAAGACAATGGAGAGGACAAAGGAAGGTGGAATTGGCCTTCCTGGTGATAAGATGCACTTGCTCTACTTGACTTGACCACCCAACCAGCTAACTTTGCCGAAGACAGCATAATGCTGGTTTATGAGTCAGTCTGTGTTTGTGTGTGTGTAACATTTGGGAGGATCTATTGGCAGAAATGGAATATAATATTCAAAAGATATGTTTTTATCTACACAAGGAGTGAGTCCTCGTCTACACTGGCTCTAGATGGATAGATGGATGGATTTTGGCCAGTATAGTTTTTCCTTTATGCCTGGTTGAGTCAAGGGTTTTTTAGTCTGTTGCAATCTACAACACTGATCAGCTTTCAACTTTTATTCAATACTGACACAAAGTATTCCCTACAATCAGTCATTTGCTTGAGAAACATTAGAGTTGCTCAACGCTAAACAGTTACTTCTCAAATAGCATTTGTTCAGCCAGCACATTTACTATAACACAAATCCCAGAGCTAAACTGAATGTGCTTGCCAAATAATTACTCTTTCAATTGTTTGCTCACTGGTTTTTCCTAATTTTAGAAGATACTCTGATTCAAAATTTGGTCTGAAAATTCACTTTCTGGGCAAGTGGCTGTAGGTTAGTTTACAGATATAAATAAAGATTTAAACATGCATACATTTAGTCATCAGGATACCTGTGCCACTCTTTCTTCTCTCTGAGAATACTGATGATTTGGACAGCAAATATGTCCTGTTGACCACAGATTCCTTAGGTGATGAAAAAATTGTCATGGAGTGAAGAAAAATGTGCTACATTACAAAAAGTTAACACAACATCATCTAACAAAAGATTTACGGATGTATTAGAAGAACTCAGCAACACAAGATGTTACAATGTTAAGTGATGTTTTTATGTTTGAGGACTCTTGGAGGAATACAAGAGATACTAATAAAGAAAATCACAAATCTCATCAATACAACGACAAAGACCTTGAAAGAGATTACAGCGTTGATGATGAGGGTAGGTCTTAAGTTATAGTAAAATGCTGCTTTAAAGGAGAAAAAGACAGCACTGTATCTACTGCAAGAACATATAACGAAACACCAGAAACTGTCCAAAATTCATGGGACATAATATTTGTATTCACTGTGGATATTATTGTCTAACAGAACAGCTTGCAACTTGGAAACTGAGGTCTACAAAGGCTTATCTCTTGTTGAAATTGATTTAGGCTTAATAAACTAATAAAGTGAGTAAAAAATGTAGTCTTTCCTTACATCACATTTAATACTCAACAATGCAGTGTGTCTTGTTCTAGTTGTAGTTAGAAGTATGTTGTGTTCTATCAAAACAGTTGCTTTTTAGTCAGAAGTGGGAGCTGTACAGGAGTCACCACACCTTTCAGTTTTCTTGTACAAGTGATGTGAGATGGAGCATTGGTATTGTGGAAATTATGTAGATAAATTCAGGTTGAAAAACCTCTCTTCCATATACTGTATAGTCAAAAACAGATGTTGGATATGAAACTTACCATCTAAAATAATATGACAGCAAAACACTGCAGACTTTCTTACTTTGGTATTAATGTTTCTGTCAGAAGTTAATGATGATGTGACATGTTCTTTTTCTTATTGTAGAAGAACCAGACACTTTGACCCTAAGGACCTCAACCGCACGACCATCACAAGCTCAAAAGAAGAAAACAGTTAAACTCTGTTATTTTTCTTATCTTCTGCTCCTGTCTTGCTCTTTATTCATAATACTTAAGTATTACCTGTAAGAACTAATTTAATTTCACACTCCAGTTATATTTTCTTGTCCTGTTTTTCTTCTCTTGAAGGTTCCTCCGGAGAACCTTTTTGTGCATAAAGATTTTTTATGAGCATAACTTAATAATGCCCGAAAAGGTGTCTATTATCAGGACTTAATGGACAATGTGGAGACCAGAACTGTCCAATATGCAGTGGAGGTCACTTGCCAAAGAAAAAGAAAATCATTATTTCATATTTTCAATCAAAATCTTAACTTTTTACAAGCCATATCTCCATTTTCCTGGTAACGACCTTCACTAATAACATCCCATAAGGTCCTAATGAAATGAAAAAGTTCTTCACTACTCCATTAAATCCAGTTATTTTTGCTCAGCATCACAAGTACATTGCCAGGACGGTTGAGTATGTCTCTACCCCTTTTACAATCATAATTTCTGATTCAGGTACAATTAAACAATTACTCCAAGGCCTGTAATTGTAGCGGTGCGGTGACAACTAGTGCTGTTTAAGAATTGTACCTCAAGGCACTTGACGCAGAACCAGTACTTACAGTCGCTACTGAAAAGATCTTAAGAACCAATTCTACAATTTCATCTCAAAAAAGGAAATCTTTGGAGTTTATTTTTATGTATTTAAGAAAACCATTAAAGGAAGTCCTTGAGCCAGCTCTTAATAGTTTATTATGTTGATGCAATTTCAGCCCTCGGCTAAACTCCCAATGAACTTATCTTGAGTATTTTCCATGCTTGTTATAGGTGGATCTCAGTAATCTGGACTGTTGAAATTTGTGTGCTCTATATCATGGTATTTATCATAGTATTCGACTTCTAAAGAATCCCTCACCCCCACCTATAAGTGATAATAATATCTTTATAGGAAAATGTATATCGTCCTTTTGATCAATTTATGTTTAATAGAGTGAAATTGTAATTTGTCCACACACAAACGTGAGTTTAAAGCTGGAGAAATAAAATGCTAAGAGCTCCAACTGAGCTCCAACAACACTGTATAATGCTTAGTTGGTTGGAGTTAACTAGAAAAATAAGGTGGGGGGACAAAGAAAGGTTTGCTTAAGGCTGGAAATATAATGTCTTTTGTGTATAACATTTAGGAGGATCTATTAGCAGAAATGGAATATAATATCCATAGGTATGTTTCCATTAGGGTATAATCACCTGAAAATAAGACGTTTTCGTTATATCTCGTTATTTTTTAAAGCATGTAGGTTTAAACAGATATGGCAGCCCTTCCTTGACTATATCACAGCAACTTTAACTGAGATATTTGTCTTTTATATATTTTTCAAAACACAATGTAATTAAATTAATGGATGACCAGAGAAACCCACAATAAAGAGTACACATTTGCTTTTTCCTACATGTTAAGGGAGGGGATGGATGAGGTGAGTAATGTTCTGTCTTTCGTGATAAATAAAATACAAATATATAAATCATAAAATTCACATTTTTCACAAGTTTTGCGACCACTGTGTCTCCTACACACTTCACAGCCCGTTCCCATTCCCGGGTTGTCAAATACAGACCAGAGCCGTGTTCACTGCAAAACCGAAACTTCACCGCTAGATGTCACCAAATCATGCACACTGGTCCTTTAAACTTAAAAAGTTTAAATAATATAACCAAATCAGAGCCTTTTTTCCCACAGCTATATCAATAATATTCGAATATCTTTTGAGTTTTCATAAATTATATTCTCTGTCTCTACTCCCAGCAGTTTTTTTTTTTTTTTGCACTATTCAAGTGGTGACCCTTACAAAGAACTCAGAGATCATGGTCCTCAGTATGTCATAAAGATGTGCGTGTGTGTGAGAGTGAGTGTTCACTGAGTTGAAGAGCAGTTGTCGTTGACAGCTGCATGGGAGCAGCGAGAGAAGGAGTCAAGTGGCTTCAAATAGCCGTCGTTCTCCTCATTCATCAGAGGAACCCCCCCCCCCCCCCCCTCTCTCTCACTCTCTCTGTCTCTCAGCAGCCATTGGTGTGAAGTTTACATTTCTTTTGTTGACACAGTCATGAAGATGTTTTTTTAATCTCTGCTTTCACTTTAAAAGAATGTTTCATAAATGCCCAGAACAAAGAGGTTTGCACAGTTCAGTCCACTGTAGGTAAGCGTAGAGGTGTTCAAGTTAGATATTATTCTGCTGCTGAATATCTGCGGTAGGTTGAAGGCTCTGTTTACCCAATTTAGCTGATCAAACAGTTTTTCAAAGTTAATGACACTCAGTATGATTGTGTATGACACAATAAAAACATGGACACAGAAAATAGTCGTTGTTCAACTGCTGCAAGTGTGCATTTTTTTAAAAAATTCCAATCACATGGAAAACACCTGAGGTTATCTCTATTTTATAGACAGCGGCTTTCTTTATGTAATATTATGACTCAGGAATTTGACCAAAACAAGCAGGTGTCACTATTTCATGTTAAGCATGTGTTTTGTTTTTTGTAATTTACAGATCAAAAGACATCTGGACATCTAGGTTACCAATAGCCACTGTTTAAATAACATTTAAATCAGGGCAATTAGAACAATTAGAGTTGTTCCGATACTGATACCAGTATTCGAAATTCCTCTGATACTGCCGGTGCACCGATTCAACACCACTTGATTTATTAGCACCAAAATAGATGAGCTTTTTTGTTTCCAAGGATAGAAATCATAACCCCGCCCTACTCTGACAATCGCAGACAATGATAGCAATAATTGAGCCTTAGTAGTAGACGCTTGTTAACAAATAATAATATACAGTGTATATATATCTATTTTTAAAGCACTTGTATCGGATCGGTACTTGGTATCGCAAAGTTAAGGTAAAAATGGTATCGGAACATCTCTTCTACTCATCAGTCCATTATTTTTCAGTTGATTATTTAGTGTATCATTATACATAACAAATTGATTTTCCATCAATTGACCACTGAAACTCCTAGTTAGGAACCCTACATGTTGAAATCCATTAATTCTTTTGATTGAACAGATTAACTGTATGTAAACAACCAACTAATCCAAGATTTTAACGTTGAGATGTTATTTGACTTGCAAGTCACCAAATTCATACTTACATCCTGGTCACTGTAACATATTATTGAGACACGTGTGTCCCAATTACATACTACTTACAAACAGTATCCGTATGCTCTACTGTATATATTAATTGTCATAGAACAAGTATAGTACATATTACTGTGCGCTTAATGTACAAGATATCAGTATATTCAACTGTACTAACAGGAATGGAAGCAGCACATGTCCCAATGGATGTTAGTTAGACTTTGCCACTGCCAATTACACAAAGACAAACTTATTTTCATGTTTTGTATTTCAGTTTTTTGCAGCTATCAGCAGTTCCTCCATTTCATTTATGCATTGCATTGTGGGACAATTGTGTACATCAACTGTACACACATAAATGAATAGGACTTATTATGCATACAGACATATAGTTTGTACATAATATGGAATTGGGACACAGCTTGAAACATTACTTAAATATCTTTTTAATATCGGTTGAAAATGTCCAAAACTGTTTAATTTAACTTTTTAATGTGCCATAAAATACTGACAGTGTTTTTTTTTTCAGTTGACATTGAACCAATAGTCCATGTAAACCAAAGTGTTTGCTCCTCCTTCCTTTGCAGTCTGCCAAATTCTTGCTGTGCGGCCTCCTGAACACCAACATGGCCTTTCCTCCAGCCATAACACTCCCAGTGTCTGTAGCCCAGTTGTCCCAGTGAGGCAAGTCCTGCCAAGTCCTTCAAGCGCTTGTCTTTGGAGTTTGACAACACATGTGTCTCTGTCCGTCTGTCCCCAGACTTTTTCCAGTTTAGGAATGTTGTCCCTGCCTGTTACAGAAGCACAAAGAGTCGTGTCTTTGTCCACATCCGTCAAGATCAGATTATCTCTCTCTCTCTTTCTCTCCTCCACGAGTCCACTTTTGTTTCCACACTTTGTATCCACACTGCCGGCATTCAGCTCAGCAGGGCTGTGCTGCTGCACAGTCCGCCGTAACACCGAGCTGCAAGCAGACCAGAAGCCGTTACAGCACAAAAAATGCCATCTGACCGATTTTTAGTTTCTCTGTCAGTCATCCCATAACAGCAGCAGAGCAACAGAGTAGAGCAGGAGTGGAGGAAAGAGGCTACAGCTGAAGTAGGAGTGAAGGGAGGGGAGGAGGGGGAAGAGTCTCAGCAGTCTCTAAAACCAATACAAATCCTTGCTCTTATCCTGTGCCTGCAGACCTGAGAGAGGAGGAAAGAACGGAGGAAAAAAAGAAAAGGAAAGGCAGTGAAAGAACAGAAAAGCAAGAAAAGGGAGATTAGAAAAAGAAGCGCAAATGTCTTGTTGATAAAAGCAGGAGGAATTGCCCGAGGCAAAGAGGGGATGAGAGCAAGACAGCAACAGAAAAGGAAGTTGACAGCTGGTGTTAAGGTGCTGATTGACAGTCAGTTTGTTGCTTCAAACCACTTGTGGTAAGTTGATCTGAGGGGGGGGGTCTTCATTTAAATCTCTTTTCATGCTTTTAAGTTGTTACTTTGTCATCTGGCCATACTGAATGTCTTTAATACTGCTTTCGTTTAATCAGTAAATTCATTCAATAATCAGCTCTCTGAATTGTTGTGCATTTAACAGATAGGCCAAGTTCAGCGTCAACTCAAAGAAGCAGGACGTTTTCAGTGTGTCAATATATAAAAAGGGAAATGAAAATATAATTAAAACAGCTTTGCAAATTGGTTTTTTACAAATGTAGCCATTTTTCAATGAGGACAGATGTCAGCTTGACTTTTTATTTCTTTCTTATGTGCAAAGCTGTTTTGGCTGTTTATATTTTATCTAGTCTTTGGTGTTCATTCACCAGGCAACTCTTTGGTTTTCCAGTTCAGCCGTGTGAAACACAAAACGACAGATTTTCTTCAGCTTTTTGTCCTCCTCGATCAAAGATTTTGTCAGCGGATGGAAGTCAAAGCAAATCCTGACACCTAAAAAGATATTCCCCGTGTTGCAATTTACAAAACGCCAATTACAAGTTTTGACCAGTCCCAATTAAAATCACACTGGTTAAACATTATACAAGAAACATCGGATTCCAGACTGTCAATCGGTTTTATGTTGTTATTTTTTTGCTTTTCAAGCTTAAGAAACTGCTGCATATCTCATAATTAATGCCGATCTAATAAAATAAATGTAAAACAGTGACCAACATTTTCAGAATCTGTCATGTTTTGGGGTTTTTTCCAATAAACTCCACAGTTATTGTGTAAGAGAACTGATATGCATTTACACTTGAAGTTCCAGTTATAGTTGTGGTGTGGACAATTGCCATCCACTTGAGTTAAAAGGGTTTATAAAATGATAGTTATTCCTCTTGATGTGGACAGCCATTCCACAGCAGCACCTTTTATTAAACTGCTCTACAAATCCTGGATAAACACAGTGAATGACTGCAAAGTACTGGGATAGCTAAAGTACATCTGCTCACTAATCATGTTGGATACACAACTAAGACCAAGCCATGGTCAACTGAACATCATTCAGATTTATTTGGAAGTGTAAAACCTTCTTTCCTAGACCTGTGGTTCCCAACCTTTTTGGCATGTGACCCTTTAAAACAAAGTAAAGTCGACTCGTTGTGACTCCTTGTAAAAGCTTACACATTAAATCTAACAGCAATGAGCTAAGTTCATGTAACTTGATCCTCCAAAAAATGTTGTTTTAGTGAACTTCAACTTAAGTGGTAATATCTGTATAAAGACAATGTCTTACTTTATTTAGATAAATTTAAATAAGTTTGGAGAAAAGCTGCATATGACTGTGATATTAGTTTTAATGTTCAATTAACAGAATGTAATTGGTAAAAACTAATAATTTTACCCAAGTTACCTTAATGAACTTAAATGGTTTAAGGCAATCGGACAGTTGAACTAACTCGTTGGGTTTTACAGTGCCGTATCGGACTGTATGTGCTGAGCCGACACCGTCTTCTAGAAATTAAACAAACACCATTTTGAAGAAAGCATCACTCTGACCGGATTACATTTTCTATTAAAATATTGGGGAAACTTATCTCTAAAATGTTCACTGACTGATGTATTTAATGTTTTCCGCCAAAATATCTGATATTGTGGTACAATATCCACATTATTAAACGTTTTTATGGTTATGTTTAGCCACTGACTGCACTATTTTAAGGTAAGAGAAGATCGGGGTCTTACTTTAAAATACAGTACCACAGTAACTTGATTTACGAGACCCAACATTTAAGCAAACTACGGTCTTTTCCTAACCTTTACCAAAGTTCGTTGGTTGCCTAACCAAGGACTTCTTGGCGTGAACTATGATTTCTTCTTCATCCCCCGCATGTGTCCAAATAAAAAGGAAACATAATCCATGCAGCAATTACTTTTTAAAGGGCAACATAACTGTGAAAACAATTTATTACTATGTAAATGTAACAAGCCCAAATAGGTAAAACTATCCAGTATTCCACCAAAAAAAGGAAGCATGTAAGAGTAATGTTCACCCCTCACATTTACCTCCCGATCTTACAGGTACTCTGCCGTAAAGTTAGAAACCTAGACCAACTTACTGTTCAAACAATTGGGTCTTAGATTTTATATTAGAATTGAATGACGCCTTGTAAGCCTTCTCTATGCCCCCCAGAAGGCCTCTCTAGTGTTATTCTAAGCTGCAGCCATGGCAGAAAATAAAAGTTATAAAGTAAGACATTTTCTTGACTACTATTAACATACCTGAAGATGTTTATGCTGTAAACATACGGATGCTTTTGATTGTGAGTTAAATAAATGAAATTGACCTGACGTGAAGACAATACCTGTGTCCATGTTGAGTCCGATCTCTGCTCCGGCTCCGGTGAAAGCACCGCTCCAGGCCGAACCCGCCCCAGACTCCCCCTTCCCTCCCAGGTCACAAGACGAGGCGCTTGGCCCCGGTACCGAGCTGCCAGATGCCAGACGATGATGAGGCCGCACTGACGGCACCAGCAGAGAACCGTAGCGAGGGTCGAACGTCGTACCGTACATCTCATGAACCCCCGGGCGTGGATACGCTGAGCCCTGGGTGCTTATAGCGCCCCCTAGTGAGTAAGGGTGGTGGTGGTGATGGTGGTGGTGATGGGATGGGTGCCAGGTGTCGGGGCTGGATTGGTGGAGGTGGCTGTGCAGGGAGGCGGAGGAGTATGGGTCCCCAGGGAAGGGGAGCTCTGTGTGGGGAGCTGACAGAGCGCTGCCCAGCGTGGAGGAAACCGACGGCTGGTAGGAGCTGTTCCAGAAAGACGGAGGGAAACTTCTCTGGCTCATAGGGAATGATCCATCTGTGAAGACACAATCCACACTGCTTTAAAAAGGAAACTTTTTGGTTTTCCATTAAGTTAGCCTAAAGTAACTCATTATTAAAGCACAGTTAAGTTGATGCTGAAGGTTCATTTTTGACCTCAGAAACAGTGTAACCAAATTCTTATCGCACGCACTTGTTTTTTTCCCGAAGCTTTCAGCGATAAATTGTGGCCATAATACTTCATTTTAAAATTGTCCCACTGTGTATTTTGGCAATAGCTTGAATTGATTAGATGACTGACTTATAAAACTTACAAAGCCAAAATTTGCTTGTAACAACTTCTTAAATGTGAGTATTTGCTCCTTTTTCTCTGCTCTGTTCTGTTATTTTATTGTAAAATGATTAACTTTTGGTATTTAGACTGTTGGTAGAAAAAAAAATGTGACTCTAATCATAACTTTTATTATTTAAGGAAATAATTTAAATGTGGATGGATAATGAAATTAGTTGCAGCCCTAGAAATGGTCAACACAACTTTGAGGTCATATTTTAGAAATACAGAGATGTCTACTTAAGAGGGAGGGCACTGTACATCTCCATGCAGAATAATAATAATGCTTGATTGGCTCAAGAAAGGGGTTTTTTGTTTTTCAACTTCACCTTCACCCCTGATCACAAGCAATTATTATATATTATTATATGCTAAAGGAGCAATAGAAACTTAAAATAGTCCCTTTTTTGTTTCTGTTTAGATTCAAAAGTCGCTAGATGACACAAAGATGCTTGAGTTGAGAAATGGCCACGAAAGGAGATGAAATGAAAAGCGAGTCGGCTGGTAACTAAGGAACACTGGTTAATTTTTTATTCACCAAAAGGTTGTAGAAAACCTCTGTGTACGTTTTATTGTTTTAATCGTCCCTTTATGTTTATATAAATGTCTAACTTTAAACACAAGGGGAACCGTTTTATTTCAGATTCCTATTATTTCTGTAGCTGACAGAAATCAATAATAAGAGTCATCCGCTAACGTGATGCCAGAGAGAAATTCACTTGAGCACAGTGTAAAAGTCTGTGATAGATGCACTCACAGATGACTCTCTAAAAGCAGCTTAAAAAACTGAAACATTTCTGGGAAATACTTAAATTATTCAAAGACGCTTTACATGTTATTAAAAACATGCTGTACTCCGAATGGTGAGAACTGAAACCGACCAAGGCATAGATTTCTCAACATATTGTTATTATATATTCACTGTGCGTTATGTAGACTTTGTATTAAACACAACAGCACCAACTGAGACTGAAACAAAATACACTTCCTCTCCCTTCTATGTTGGTAAACTGAAACAGATTAACAGCCTCTATAATAAACAATAGGAGGCTCACAAAGTACTATTATTCTAAAAAAATAAAATTACAAGACGATGAATAGCCGAGCAAAACTGGAAATCAGACGCACCAAATCAAATGTGCAACAACATCCGTCGAACTCAAAACGTGAAGATATTGTTGCTCAGATTTGCAGTCGTTCTCATTTTGTTGTTGTTTTTGTTTGCATGACAATATCTAATCAAATGTTACCTGGCGGAAATCTGTGAGCAACCAAGACAAACTTTATTTACTGAATCCTGGGAAGTTATATTAAAACACGCAGCCGAAAGGAACCAGAATTACATACATTTTCAGCACAAAGCTGCTAGAATTCCCCCAAATCAACAACATTAAAGCATTTAGAGTCGAAATGCTGTTTGACACATAATGAGGGGAAACACTGGCACACACATGCGAAGGCACACGCACCTCTTAGGGCCTTGTGGCTGCTTGAGGTGGGGTATGCAGTCGTGTGGCTCAGGGCTCGGCTGAAGTGCTCGTCCACCACGGCGCTGATGTCTCCCTGGAAGTAAGTGAAGAGGACGCAGCGGGAGTTCAGGTACTCGGCTCCCGGCGGCAGCTCCTTGTCCTCCTCTTTGATCGCCGGGTGGCCCGGGGGGGCGAGCCGGCGGCCGCTGTCCTGGGGGTCTTGCATTTTGGAATAAAAGGCCAGTTTCTAGGTAGGACACAGATTTAGATATGAGTGTTATGAAATTGTGTTTATTTATCATTTTGCATTGATTTTAGAAAGTTGCTCTTTTTTTCTGGATTTTAGATACTTTGGTGACCGATATGTGACATTTGACCTCTAAACCTTATAAAAATCGGCATTTTTAATTTTCTTTTCAGGACAAAATAGATGAAGACAAATCCACCTGAACGCTTTGCCATCTATTTATGCATAAACTGACTAAATTATACAAATGCATGCAGATGGAGCTTTAAAATAAAACTCAATAAATACACACGAGACAAAACAAACTGAACAATATAAGTAGTATAATGAAGTATATACATTAGAAAACACAAAACCCAGCAAGAAAACAGGACAAAATATAAGTGACAACTACAACACAATAATAATAACACAATATAACAACCAAACGTGACTTCCCGGCCTTGGCTGAACAATAAAGTTGTTTATTTTATTCTATATAAATTGCAGTACACAGCTATATTAACACGTAGAGTACTGTATGGTTGTTTTAATGTTGTTCAAATATAATGTCTTTGCACCAGTCACTCATTACTGAACCTACAAAGCTTTTTTAAACTCATTTGAAAAAAAGTATTTTATGTATACGGAATTACTTTGTCACTTTGAGGAATTGAACAAGTGTTTTTTTTTTAATTGTTATTATTTGACAAATGTATTAGATAAACCATACAAAATAATTGTACATACAAATTTTGCTCATTATGAAACTGTGTGTATCGTGGCTAGACTCTGGCTGATCCAGAGTCTGTTTAGGTGACAGACGAAGTGAGTTTTGGCACTATGTGAAATATGCCTGGATGTTGACTGAGAGGTTTTAAGAGAGTGAAAAAAAGTCCTTTAACAGGTCTGCAAAGGCCTCACAGAAACCTGCTGCACTCGAACTGTTGAGTCGCAACCATGAAGTCTGCTTACAGATGCAGATGTGACATTAAAAAAGGAAAATGTATAGTTCTGTGCAGTTGGCTTATTACTTAAATAATAAAATATCAGTCAAAAACATGAGATATAATTGATTTTAATCCTAAACTATGGGCTTTACTCATTCATCATTGTAACAGTAGGAAATAAGTGAAGAGAGACACTTTTTTTTTTAAACTTTTAAAACTTTTTAAAACTACTTTATAATAAAGATAATCTGAAATTGTTATTAAAAAACAATAAATATATGTATTTTTATTTTTATTTTCTATTTTTCTTCTTTCTTGTACAGTAAAATACTTTTTTTAAAATTGGATTTAATATCAATACTAATGCAAACAAAAAGACCCAGAAGAAAGTTTTACATTGGCTTCATAAAACTTTACGCACTTGATGAGTTCCTCTCTGCCTGTAGCGGATACATACAGTCCATGCCTGGCGATTTATTGTATTTTATAGTGACTAACAGCGTGTTAAACATATATATTTAAGATATATAGAGGATATTAAGGGATTTTAAGGGCTGTAGGAGTTAAATTATTACGCTTTCTAAATATATTATCCACATCTAATCGTTGTATGGCTGCGTAATCTCCTGTATTTCCAAGTAATTAAGTTTTAACCGGCGGTTCTTTGGACAAAAACCTAAATATTAAAGTTTTCTGTACATTTAAACTGATATATAAAGTCCACCGTGCAGACATAAGTAGAGCATGAGCTGATGAAGAGTATATGATCCATACCTGGTGGTGATAGGGGCTGTAGGAGCTGAAATAAGGCTGAGGACCAAACACTTGGTACATCACATCCAGGCAGCTCATGGCGAAGAAATCACGGAGAAGAACCAAGCTTCATGTAGAGAGCAGGTCTGCTGAGACGGAGAGGAAACATTAATCCCGGCGGTGGAGGACGGAGGGAACGGCTGAGAGAGAGAGAGTCACTCTGCTGCGCTGCTCTGCGCTCTTAACGCACTGGACTGCGGCCGTGCGCGCTGAAGGGAGCCCCCTCCTCCCTCCCTCCTCCTCACACCCAGCCTGACGCCTCCCTCCCGCCAATCAGAGGCCAGAGCTCCACCTCTACCTTAATTGGCTTTTAATTACAGAACAGGAGAATCACAACATCTATAAAGCTATTAAGTAAAATATCTGCATAAAGCATGGTTGCCTCAGCAGCCTAAAACATTTTAATGATCCAATACATTTTTTGTCTTTTTCTAATTTCACAAACATCCATATTCCATTTTATGTTTTATCGAGCATCCTAGCAAAGCTGTTTCCCATATGTTTTTTTAAATTATTTCAACCAAATGTGTTTTTTTCTGATAATGTATTTTTTATTAGAGGTATCAGTCATGTTACAGTTTACTTCTGCAAACAGAAGCCTTCGAGTTTAACCTAGAACATGGAGGTTTGTTCAGGGTTTGCTTATTGGAAAAGGAAACTCAATTCTGCTCCTTGTGTTGAGACTTGGTCATTTGTTTTCTTTATCCCCTTATACCTTTTCAAGGTCATTAGATGCACTGAGAAAACCTCCGACTGGCCTCCAGTTTATTGTTTGGAAAGATCAAGACGAGGGCCCCTCAGAAATATCGGCGTTTTCCATTTTCTTGGAATTTCTTTTTTTAAGAAGTTGTGGATTTGTAAGCATGATTGGGATTGAAGGAAGTTGCTACCAATCACAATACACCACACCCAGTGGTTCCCAAACCGTTTTCATTGGACATAATACATCCACAGCGATCTCAGAGGAGCTCTTCATCAATCGATCAATCATGTTCCAAATGTGTTTTTTTAAGTAGATTTTAAATTGGATGTTTTCATTATATAAACCTGGATACTGTTATAATAACTTAAAGGTCCAGTGTGTAGGGTTAAGGGGCATCTAGAGGTGTAGTTGCAGATTGCAACTCCCTCGCTTCACCCCACCAGTATTAAAAAAATAAGATGCACAGTCAGAAAAATCATAAATGCAAATCCTCATATAACTAAATAATTTGCCTTTTATCAGCCACTCAGTGAGCGTGACGAACAGTAGTTTAAAGAACTGAGATTAGTATGTAAATAGTTAGTGCAGGTGATCATTTTATTCTCTAGTCTTTTTTTAGCGTTTGAAGCCACAAGAATGTAACAACTGGCACTTACTGCTAATTGAATGAGTAAACATATCAAACCGACCAATGAGTGGAATGTATTGCTATGAAGTCCCACAATTCCTCAGCGGCTTCCCGAATTCTGGAGGGCAAAGGTCAAATAGCTTTCTCCCAGTTTGGTACTATTACTAGAGGTCAGGGGTCACCGGCAACTTACCCAACAATTATCAAGCTACAGTACGAGGACGAATGAGTGACACAGTGTGTATGTTGTCTTCAGACATTACGCTCAAGTTGGTTTCACTTAAATCTAATCATAATTATAACCTGAAGTACCTGAACTTATTCAACATATTTTATCACAACAATATTTTTGGGAATATTTCTGTACCCTTCTTGTCATTGAGCAGTTATGTCTTCCATTCATTACACTGGTAGATTTAATGCTCATTTTCATATTCCTTTGACAGTTGTCAGGCTTCCCACATGTCCTGGAGAATCTGAAAATTTAGAGACTACTTCTCCGGGTACGGTAACACCTGGAAATGGATTAAAATGATCAAATGTCCTGGGAATTAACTACCGAGTATGCCACGAAAGAGCTAATGAGGAGCGTCCCATAAACGGTGACCACCATTGTGAGCCAGTTCTGTTCTGTATTGTCAAGATAAACCTACTGAAAAATTTCCTGGAGAATGATCTCTTAGAAAGAGTGGGAACCCTGATTGTTGATGTCAGAATCAGAATAAGAAATTACTTTATTGATCCCCGGGTGCTCACACAACATTAAAGAATGAAAATAATAATTATATCACAATCTGGGGCGCCCGGTTAGCTCAGTCGGTAGAGCAGGTGTCCCATGTACCGAGGCTGAGTCCTTGCTGCAGCGGCCCAGGGTTCGAATCTGACCTGTGGAACCTTTGCTGTGTGTTATCCCCTCTCTCTCTGCCCGCTTTCCTGTCCGTCTTCAGCAGTCACTATCAAATAAAGGCAATAAAAAGCCACAAAAATAAAATAAAATGATAATAATAATAATTATATCACAATCTCTAACAATATATCTAGAAATAGAACATATATATCAGTATATACATATAAAATATAAAAAATATATATAAGAGTCTAAGTATGTACATTATAGTACAATATGACAATATATAGATGTAGAAGTGTGTATGATACAGTATATGACAGAAGTGTAATGAATAATAGTAAAAAGTACTGCTAATGTTAATATGTTGACATCCTTAAAGGACCACAGTATTAGTGACAGAATAAGCCGGATTATTACACATTAATCAGAGTTAGAGAAAGTAAAGTCATGTGGAAATCAAGTTAAGGCACATTGGTGATATCTACATACATACAATGACAATTAGGTCGAATAAAGAACTGTCTAAATACAAAAATAAAAAGGTAAAATAAATAAAAAGAGATAAATAACAAGATCTACGCGTGTACCAATTTTTATGCATATCGGTGAAACGGGCTCCTGAGGGGTCATTTTACCATTGTCATAGTGGACCCCCATAAAATACGAAATTGTTTTCCACGACTGACATGTGTGCAGAGTTTCGTGAGTATTTGAGCCTGTTGCGGCCTCCAAAAATGAGTCATATTGGCAGAAAAATAATAATAATTCTTTGAAATACAATCGGTCCTTTCACTGGTCAGTGCTCTGGCCCTAATGATAACATAAAATGTTGTTTAGTCACTTAAAGTTTGGTTGGAAACAAATCAGAATGAATTGACTGTTGCAAATTAGTAAATCTCTGAGAGTTGCTGTCAAACATCATCTGACAGGCTCACAACAGAAACAACCCATAGCGACAGAAAAGTACTTGGGATTCCCAACACTAACGAAAATGTTTGATTACAGCCTGAGTGAAAATTACAGAAAACACTGCCGGGAAGTTTGTGGTCAGTTGCAGCAATTTATTTAGAGCCGAGCTGTTTACACAAACCTTTGATCCCTTATAATTAAGTCTCCAGCAGACAGATCATTATAGACTCTGTGGCTGGGCAAGTTTATTTCCTACACAAAAATGATCCTTTTTAATAATCAATGTCACATTTTTAATGACATGCAAATATTCCCCATGATGTGTTTGTTTGTGAAAAGCAAACAAGAAAACATTACACTTTATGATGCCACAGTGATCTGTTTATTATAGCTGTCTATCTTCTTTTGGGCCTTTGAGCTTATACATGTTATTTTAATGAACTCAGATACGATGTTTTGCCTGCGCTGACTATAAATTAGACTACACAAGTGGCCCCCGGTTAGGAAACTTTTAATGAGTAATAAGTTGGGTACCTGTATGAGAAACCTGTGCTATAAATAAGCATTAAAAATAAAGGTATTTGCACATTTATATAACCATTATGTTATCACCATGGGCTTTCACCTTGTACTAATAAACTGTTGTACCAATTTTTGTCATCCTGGCACTCGATTGTCCTTTTGGCTGACCCCTCCAACAACCAGCACACCTGTTACCCACCACAAGTGGTGCAGAGAAGCTATTAAAACCCAAAATATCTCCCATTGAGGTGCAGCTCAGCTCATCTCACAGGCATTATTCTACTGATCGATCTGTGTGTATTATGGAACTGGAATGGCCAAGGTTCAATGAGGAATTTTCAATCAGCAATGTTTGGCATCCTCTCTGCTGTCACTCAAGCTCTTCATATGAAATTATTTCCCAACAGGAGGAACAAAACACCAGAGCTGCAAAAATATTCAGAGCTGGTTTTTTGGGTGTCTTTTGGTGGCCAGTCTGAGACAAGTCAAGACCAAATTAAGTTATAGGTCTTGAAAGAAAATGTAAAGGCAGTTGTAAGTCTTTTGCTGTTGGTCATGAGCACTAATTATCATGTAAAGCTTTATAAAAGTAGAAGATTTGTGAAGAGTGACGTTTCCCTCCACTCCTCCGACCGCTGCAATTCTGTTGAGAAGATTTAATTTTGCTGTGATTAAATTTTTTACATTCCTTGTCCTACTCCACAGACTACAGACAGATTACACAAACAAACAAAATCAAATAGTTTAGCGAGTCGTTAACAAAAGAAAATGACTAGAGCTGGATTTCTTTCCGATTCATTGTATGGAACAAGATCAACTCGGATGGGATGTCATTCCCAGCTCTAACTTTGGATTTCTGACAAGCCCCCAGGAAGAGAGCCACACTTTGAAGCCAATTTAACATAGTGGCTGATTATGTAACATCGTGTAATTACAGCAATGGTGTCATCACGTGATGCACACTGGCCCAAAAAGACTTTTTCACATTGTGAAAGAGGCCCGGTGGATAAATATTTTTTGAGCGTCACAACCTCTGAAAAATGTCTTGGAATTTGATCCATTCAGTCCGATAACATCTTTAAAGTATAGAAAAGTCACAAGATTAAATTATTTACCCCCATTTAAGTTAACCGAGGTCTAAAGTTAGCGGAAGTCAGCCAGTGGAAGGCTCTAGTGTCCTATGTGCGAGAAGTGGCAGCTTTCATAGCAATGAACCGAGCGCCACCTCCAGCGCTGTATCCAGATCTCTTCAAACATCCACAAACACAGAATAATACTAGATTCCTGTAACAATTGTCAATAAATGTAGGCATGTATATACATTCACAAGTGATTTCCAGGCTTCAGAGGCGTGTGTGGATCAGAAAAATACCAACTGATGAGATATTTAAGTTCAGTTTTCTCTTTAGTTTAAAATCACAATGTGCTGTAATTTTACTTTTTGGTGTTGTAGTGTAGTTTATAAAAAGTTATCTCACAATTTGGATAGAAAATCTCAGAGACTGACGAAAGAACCCCTTAAATAAGAACACACACACACACACACACACACACACACACACACACACACACA